GTCTCCCGACAATTGTAGAATATTAGGGAGCCCCCTAGTGGCACCTGTATTCCTAGTAAATTTCCAAACTAAAGAATAAAGTTAGTTCTTTTCCTTACTACTTGGACCAGTTTGGTTACCTAAACATATTTTGCTGATTTCTCACCCCCACACAGGCCCCCATTTTTAAACCCAATTGGACTTCTTTTCATGTCCCACATATGTTGTATAAGTTTCTGGCATCAAAAATATAATCATAATAATTATCTCTAGTAATTCAAATGACCAGTTTCTTCTCTTGTGAACTTCTCAATTATCTCAGAACAATTCAGAGATACACTGTGAAAAACATCATCATTGGAAATAAAATTCCCATATTAAATTGTAAAGCCCTGACTGGTTTGGCTCATTGGATAGAGTGTCGGCCTGGGGACTGAAGGGTCCCAGGTTCGATTCCGGTCGAGGGCATGTGCCTTGGTTGCGGGCACATCCCCAGTAAAGGGTGTGCAGAAGGCAGCTGATCGATGTTTCTCTCTCATCGATGTTTCTGGCTCTCTATCCCTCTCCCTTCCTCTCTGTGAAAAATCAATAAAATATTTTTTAAAAATAAATAAATTGTAAAAACACATTTTCCCAAATAGATGTTAGTTTTAATATCATTGTTATACAGAGGTATATCTTTATTATACTTTCACCTGGCCAAAGAAAAAGATATATGAAATGACACCTAGACTGCATTATCTTTGAGGCAGTCATGCAGCATGTTTAAAACTTACTAACATTACTATTAGTTACAGTGAAGATTTGAGGATGGGCTGAAGAGTGATGCCCCTTGGATAAAGTGAGCAATTCAGGTAGTTCTGATGCTTTTCCAATGGGATCCCCCAAACCCTTAAAAGGTGAGGTGAAGTCAGTCTAAACAATGACGGAAGAGAGTATTCATCATGGTGAGAACAACTTCAACATGCACAGAACAATGAAAATAGCACGAATGTGCCCTGGACACTATACTAGAAACTGTCAGTGTCATTGGCACTCAGAGTGAGAGGTGGGAGCATAAGCAATGGACCCAGAGATGTGCCAGGGCCAGCCAGACAATGGAAGGCTTTGGGGGCTACACTTAGGGGTTTGAATTTATCCTGAACAACAGTGGAAAGGTTGTGAGATAGTCAGGTTTGGGTTTTAAGAAATGAGTCTAGTCCCAGGTCAGGTAGCAGAGCTGGTTAGAGTGTTGTCGTCCTGATACACCAAGGTTGTGGGTTCAATGCCTGGTCAGGGCACATACAAGAATCAACCAATAAATGCATAAGTAAGTGGAACAACAAATTGATCTCTCTCTCTCTCTCTCTCTCTCTCTCTCTCTCTCTCTCTCTCTTTCTTCCTCTCTCAAAAAAAAATAAACAAATAAAAGAAATTCGTCTAACAACAGAGAATAAATTTGAGGAGGAATAAGATCCAGATCAGAGACATTTTGTCCAGGCAGGAACTGATGAGAGTTGGTAGACAAGTTGTACAAGGGCCTCTACAGTAGAGATCATTTCTGGGCCATCAATGCCCTAGGCAACAGTGGAATTAACTGGGGTCTGAGCAAAGGCCCTGGCACCTCCCTGCCTCAGCTCAGCATCCAATCAGTTTTATTTGGGGCTATTTACCCCTTGCCCTTGGCAACACTACTGCCTCCCCCACCCTCCTTGCGAGTGAGCTCACATGAACATCTCATAGCCTTCAGCCCTGAAGAAAGATAGAGTTGTGTAGTCTGAATTTCACTGTATTAGAGGGTATGAAGCATGGAAAAGAACTGGGTAGAACATAGGATCACAGACTGTGCAGAATGGTTAGATATTAGGCATAAGGTCTGGAAAGAAGCCCAGAATGACTCCTAGGCCTTCGGCATGGTGCCTGGAAAGACAGAAGCACTCATCGCTAGTGTATAGATCCAATAAGCGAGAAGGAGCAAAAGTAAATTGTAGTCATTTTCTAGGCTGTGTAGCAAATTCCCACAAACTTAACGGCTTAAAACAACACACATCTATTATCTCCTCATCCCTTTGGATCTGAGCCTGGGCATGCTGCGTCCTCTGCCTCAGGTCTCCCAAGGCTGCAGTCAAGGTGTCAGCCAGAGCTCGGTTCTCATCGGGAAGCTCAGCTGGGAAGGGCATGCTCCCTTGCTGGTGTGGCTGTTGCCAGCATTCATCTTCTTGCAGCTGCGGGTTCCTGGCAGCTCCCTTCTTTAAAGCCAGCAACAGAGACGCTAGAGTAAACCTGCTAGCAAGACGGAGTTGTATGTAAAGTAATAAAATCACAAGAGTGATATTCCATTACCTTTGCCAAATTCTAGTGGCTAGAACTGAGTCACAGGTCCCACCCATGCTCAAGGGGAGGAGATTATGAATGTCAGGGCCCAAGTATCATGGGAGCAATCCAACTGCCCATCACATGAGCCTAAAAAGTAGTGTTTTAAAATGTGAAAGTTCTGGGTGCCTTTACTTCTGTCAATTCAGGAAAATTCCATTATACTATAACTTGACCATCATTATACTAGCTTAGGATTATTAGAATAAGAATAGTTGTCCTGAAAATATCTACATGAGAGTGGGGAGGAGCAATTTTATTCTTTCTGATCTTCAATGTCCATTCAGGAAAGGTTATAGTGTTCATTTCTTATAAAAATTTGTTCTTCAGAGTCTCATATGCCTCTGAGAAATCTCAGTTCATAGTTTGGAAATTATGAAAGAGCAAAACCCAAGTATACTTCATACTAAATGACATCATAATAACATTGTATTATTGCTGGCTACTTTCCTGTCCATATGAGGTTTGATTTTATGTGAATATTTAATGAACAATTGAAAATGACTCAAAATCCTTTGGGGGGCACCTCTTCTTGACTTCCCCCAAGAAACCAAGATTTTTTGAAAACTAGAGATAATCCTAAAATGTCATATGTTATACCCACTCTTTTTCCAAATCTTAATGACCGTTTCTTCAAAATATCAGCTCTACTCCCCACTTTTTCTCCATTTATACAACCTCTCCACCCTTGGGCAAGCTTTACTGCCTCATGTCTGAATAAATCAGCATCAGCCCTCACCTTTCTGTTAGTACTATTCAAAATTGAATTTTTCTTCTACATAAACAATTTTTAACAAGCAGTTTCTTTTTTCAGTTATTTGTGCTGCTGCTCTGTTTCTTACACTACCATCTATACACACTCAAGTCTGGCTTTTTAGAAGGTCTATTATCTAAAATAACCTTCCATTCAATCCACTTCCATTCATTATTACAAATCATCTCTTCACCCCTCCAAATGGTTTCCTCCTGGCCCCTACACTAGACAGTCTTGTTTCTGTTTCCTATCTCTGTTCACACTGTGCCCTCAGCTTGGACTGTCCATGCCCTGTCGTCACGCATGTCCTCAGTCACACTAAATAGAAACTGCAGAACAGGTAGACCAGGTAATGAATGAGGGGAAGACAGATGTATATATCAGAAAAGGAGAAAGACAAGATGTATCCATAACAGAGCTCAGAAGATAAAGGACACATCAAAGCCAGAAATTGGGAGAAAGTGGATAAAATGAACAGTGTTGTGATATCCTAGAAGTTAAAACTAATCCCCAGAGTCAACCCAGGTTGGCTAGCGTGAACAAATGTAAATATCAAAGGTGAGATAAGCAGAGATGGGCAGACAGAAAGCATCCAAGTAAAGAAAATCCCAAAGGGCAAAAGAGGTACAAGGTCATGTATGAGGACTTTTCCAGGCTCTTAGGGAGGGGCAAGTAAAGAGAGTAGGCAAGTGCATATTCACTAGGAACAGCTTCATAAGAGAGGTAGTATTCTACCTAGGACCCAGGTTCTCCCATGACCCAGTGTACCTCCTGTCCAGGTAGCTTATGGAGGATCATAGTTTTCGAAACCAGTCAGTTTTGGGTTCAAATTCCTCTTCCATTTGTTAGCTCTGTGACCTTCTTGGTCTAGTTATTAAACTTCCCCAAGTTCACTTATGTGTAAAATGCAGATAATCATACCAATCTTATAGTAATACTAGAGGCCTGGTGTACGAAATTTGTGCACTTGTGGGGGGAGGGGGGCGGGTCCCTCAGCCTGGCCTGCACCCTCTTGCAGTCCAGGAGTCCTCGGGGGATCCCTTGGGGAGCGGGCCTAAGCTGTCAGTTGGACATCCTTAGCGCTGCTGCGGAGGCAGGAGAGGCTCCCACCACCGCCGCTGTGCTTGCCAGCCATGAGCCCGGCTTCTGGTTGAGGGGCACTCCCACTGTGGGAGCTCACTGACCACCAGGGAGAAGCTCCTGCATTGAGCATCTGCCCCCTGGTGGTCAGTGCACGTCATAGCGACTGGTCGTTCCGCTGTTCAGTCAATTTGCATATTAGCCTTTTATTATATAGGATAAAAATTAAATGTTTACATATATATGAAATATTTGACATCTAGCAAGTATACACATATTTATTAATTTTTATCATATTATTATTTTCATTTTTCTATCTGTCAATACCAGAATGGCTACCAAATTGTATCTGAGATCTCGTGACCTTCTCTAAGCCATTGTATAGGGTCTGCCCCATGCATTGTACCCACTTATCACAGAATATTCTGTAGATTTTCAAAGTGTCAGGTTATTTAAGCTAATTTACCCAATGATAAAATGAACTTCTTGTGTAGAGGCTTCCTACTGCTGAGTTCAATATAAAGACTCAGCCAGCACTTGCTATTATGACGTATGTATTTCAAGGCCCCACTTCATTCATTCATCCATTCAACAAGTATTTATTGAGCACCCATTATGTGTGGTAGACTTGGGATATAACAACAAAGGGCTAGGCATGAATTATACCACAATATTGACAGCATTGTGAATCTTAAAAATGGGAGGGCCTATGAGATTAGCTAGCCCAGGTCTCTAATTTTACAAAGGCATGATTGAGGATCAAAGAGATGACACTTGGCTTTTAATATTTTCTTCACTGACTATTCTTTTGCCTATTGAATCAATGTTATTTTAGGAAACAAAGAGACAAGTCAAGGATGATTTTAACTGAGAGTTTAGAAGTGAATTGTTTTGACATCTGCCGTATCACTGTGAAACTGAGCCCACTCCTCTCAGAGAAAGTTGCCAGCAGCTGTGCATGGGATAACCTCCTGCGCATCTTTACCAGAAAAAGAACAGGCGTTCTCCACGGCTGCCGTGCTCCAGCCTCATCAAAATCCTCCTGCAAAGACTCGGTGAAGCTACATGCTTCCCCAGTGTGCGGGGCAAAGTCTGTCATAGACAAAAACAGGTAACTCAGGAAAAATGCAAAGACCTTTTCTACTTTCTTTGCTGGGAAAGGCCACGCGATGGTGGCTTCCTCTGGTGCTCATTCCAGATCCTTGCTTAGTACATCTGAAAAGACACATCTAAGCATTTCTATATGGAAATGCATTTCAATCAATAATTTGGGACTGGCATCTGAAGACTCAGTGGCTTTCATCAGATTGTTTGCTCAACACACTTCAATACTCGATCCACAAACTTATTTCAAGATTAGAATGCCAAGGTGAAGATTAACACCTCTAGCTCAGTGGGGCTAATGAGACATGACTTATTAATCCTACAAGAAAACCTTAATTACACACCGGGGCACTGCTTGTTAAATACTACCCAACCCCTGAACAACTGGAAAATAAATAAGGACTAAAATAGAAAATGATGTTATAATTAGGCCCCCTGAAATGGACATAATACTATTTTTCCCCCTACATGGAAAGTATTTGTCACTGTTTCCTCCTACATAACTCAGTATTGGCATTTGTAATAAAAAGCTCAATAGAAACATTCTTGAAGTAGATAGACATGTGAATACTGGAGAAATAGGATATTATAATTCTAGAGAACTCTGTTAAGAAGGCAATTTTATTGCCTAGTTTTAGCCTGGACAATGTTAGTCATGTCCAGATTAATTAGCAAAATGACTTCATTATTATTTACTTCTTCTTCTTTTAATAGGTTCTTGCTATTCAAATACATTCATTTTTAACACTAAGGATTTCATAATGCAAGTCCACATAATTTGGAACTGTTTCATTTTATTTTTCAATCAACCCATCATACTCAAAAGGGAAGTGGAGGGATGGGAGGAACAAAAAGGGATAGTAGACATTTACTCAAGCTTCCTAAAATTAACAGGTAGAATATACCATACCCATGTAATATGCATAATCTACAAGTTTTCCATAATAATTGATGTTCTAAATTTTGTTTTCATTAGTTGGTCCAAGTTAGGACCAGAAAGGAAGAAATGAAGGGAGAGAAGGAGGGAGGGAGGGAAAAAACTTTTGACATTCATTTGCCACTTCAGAATAAGTGCTTTTGCTAAGACATAGATGGGAAAAACTACTGTTGTTGCTTTACATACAATTAGTATACAAGCCAGATTGTCAAATTGGGTCAGTTACAACTAAATAACAAGAAAATTGCCTTACACAGATGGAAAATGTATAGGATGCATAAAACTCCTGTGTAAACAACATCAACTACGATTCATTGTTTAGTTTTGTCCTACTTATCTAATCTATTTAAAATCATAACCTGCATTCTTTTCACCTTCTTTTTAAAAAGAAAAATCATTAAAGCCTAAGCCTCACATATCAAAATCTTGAAGCTTTCATAAGTCTCCTATTTTTTTGCAAAGGGGAAATTCCACAGGAACTGGTTCCCCAAAAATGTCAATAACTATCTCCTCATCACTGCAGTTTCAGAAATGTAGCAAGAGTACTCTCAATATAAAGGTTTGGGGAGCCAATTTAGCAGTTATTCTAGTTGTAATATTGGATAGAATTATTAAGAGAAAGGTTGTTTTTCTTTCCATGCATACTAAGCCCCAAAGTTGTGTTTTGAAGAGAATATTCGGAAGAATATGAAGTTAGCTGGTGAGGCTAAGCTAAGAGCATGAGGTTGGCTGACAAATAATGCCTCTCATCCACTGTAGAACAAATGTGTGTTTTTATTTATAAGTAATACTGGAAATAATAGGGGAAGAAGTCATGACATTTGGAAATAATATAGAAGACACATACACCTCCAACTCTTCTTAGCTGTATGATGTTTGATCAGTTTAAGTTAACTTTTCTGAGTTACACATTTCAAAGTGGGGGTGCTAAGAATACCCAATAAGCTTGCTTTGAGAATTTTATAATGCACGTAAGAGAAATGCTTTGTAACATATCAAGCAACAAGTATTTGTATAAAAAAAAGACCAAGATAAGAAAGAATGGGGGAAATCAATGAAAATCCTTCACTGCTATTTTGAAAATTACTGAAAGCAGGTACATACTTCCATCTGCATAGATAATGAGGTCAGCGAAATAATCCCTAACCTTCATGGGGGGGGGGGGGGCGCGGGGTACCTGAACAGAAGGAAAAATGTAATTTACTCTTGTAAATCTACATATTCCTAGATGCCATTGTCAGAAAAACTGTTGAATGGCTAATTTAATGGCCGGATAATATGAATGTTTTAAACATAGCTCCCCACTGCTTCCCAACCTTCCTTCCCCTCTCTACATGGTAGAGTGAAACTCTCACTACTCTGCAAGTCAGAGCTGTAGTCTGTTTTCAGTTCGCTGGGTGTGCTTCCTGTGCATTGTTCATTTATTCATTCATCCACTCATTGGACCAATGTGTTTGTTTCTTTAATGTTTTTATTGATTTCCAAGAGAGGAAAGAAGAGGGAGAGACAGATAGAAACATCAATGATGAGAGAAAATCATTGATTGGCTGCCTCCTGCATGCCCACACTGGGGATCGAGCCTGGAACCGGGACATGTGCCCTGACCAGGAATCAAACCATAACCTCCTGGTTCATAGGTCAATGCTTAACCACTGAGCAACACCGGCTTGGCTAGACCAATGTTTATTGATCCCTTTAACATGAGGTCCTGTACTGAGCCCAGAAGATGCAGCAGTATATCTCACATGTGGTTTATGTCTAGCAGAGGCCACTCAGCTTCGCCAGCTAGAACTTCCTCATTTGTAAGAAGAGGGAAACAGGCATGATACCCGCTTCAGTCTCTTCCAGTTCTAATGTTCTGGGTCTTTTTTGTCTCTGCAGATTTTCATTCTTTATTCTCCTCCAAAGACTCAGAGAATCTACATGCTGGTCTTCCCCTCTCATTAAATTATGAAATAATATTTATAGTATGTATAACATACCTACATAAACATGTATAGAATTTATAACCCATTTCCTAAATAGAAATTCTCCATTCATTTATGCATCACACACTGAGTCATTGAGGGAAGTCACTATACTATTTGTGGAGGTATATTTAGATACATTAAACTCTCCCTATTCTCTATGTACTTACAATGTAATAAAAGAGACAAAAAATATTCACAAATATTACATAACAGAATCCTTCCTTTAGAAAAAATTCATCTCAGTTGAAGAGATCAGAGAAGGTTTCTTGTAGGCAGGGGAGCACACATGCCTGGAAGGGATAGGATTTTGATAAGCAAAATGAAAGGAGAGAATGTCATACAAGAAATAGTATGGGCAGAGGAAAAGAAAAAGAACAGGGTTTCTGGAAAAAAAAACAACAACACACATTAGATGTGTGAGATGAGAGATGAGGCTGTTAAAGAAGATTGAGGCTAAACGTGAATCCCAATGCCAGATTCAGATGCTGGGACATTACGCACTTGGCTAACACTGTCTAGCAGAGTATAATACAAGGGACATACATAATTGAAGACTTAAATGTTCTCATTAAAAATAATCAAAATAAGTAGGAAAAACTAATTTTAGTTACATATTTCCTTTTACTCCATATATAGGCAAAACATCATTTCAACATATAATCAATATAAAAGATCATTAATGAGATATTTTACATTCCTTTTTTATAGTATACTAGAGGCCTGGTGCACAAAATTCATGAAATTGGTGGGGAGGGGGGTCCCTCAGCCCGGCCTGCGCCCTCTCGCAGTCTGGGACCCCTTGGGGTATATCCGCCTGCTGTCTTAAGCCAGCAGTCAGACATCCCTCTTGCAGTACAGGGCTCTCACAGTCTGGGACCCCTCTCTCCTTACCGCCCACCTGCAACGGAGGCAGTAGAGGCTCCCTCCACCTCACAATCATTGAACTTGTAAAATTCACTCATGAATGAGATGAAACTTAATTTAAAAGACTGGATTACTAAAATCTTCTGTAAATTAGTCTTTAAAAAAAAAACACCAAAGCATTTTAAGATGTCCAGTGTTCAGCAAAGCCCTCTAGGCCAGCACTTACTTCTAAAACCTAAAGAAAACAGAAGCTGGCAAAGTACAGTTAGCACCCAGGAGGCAAACAAATTCACTGGGACCAGGGAAATGAGTGCACTCATCACATCATTATGAGTGCACTCGCCAGTAGTGAGCCTGGCTTCTGGCTGAGCGGCGCTCCCCCTGTGGGAGCGCACTGACCACCAGGGGGCAGCTCCTGCATTGAGCGTCTGCCCCCTGGTGGTCAGTGTGTGTCATAGCGACCAGTCTTTCAGGTCATTCTGCCATTCGATCGATTTGCATATTAGGGTTTTATTATATAGGATTTTAAAACTCTGTGGGCATTTAACACTTTCAGCACATTTGACTTTGTGCAAATGGCTAATGACCAGTGACTACCATATTGGACAATACAGCTCTAGGCTATGGAGAGACACTGCTGGGTTTTGAGGTTAAGAGTGGCTTGATAGCCTGGGCGGCTTGGCTCAGTGGATAGAGCGTCAGCCTGTGGACTGAAGGGTCCCAGGTTCGATTCCGGCCAAGGGCACGTGCCTGGGTTGCAGGTTCGATCCACAGTAAGGGGTGTGCAGGAGGCAGCCGATCAATGATTCTCTCTCATCATTGATGTTTCTATCTCTCTCTCCTTCTCCCTTCCTCTCTGAAATCAATAAAGAAATATATATATTTTTAAAAAAAAGAGTGGCTTGATAAAAGCAATTTTTAGGCAACTGAATGAGGTTCTGGTATGTAGGACTGTATCAGATTGTGAGAATATTATGGATACTAGACAACAAGATGATCCTGATGAAACTATCTGGGTTTGAAGTGATTGGCATAGACCGTGGTGGTTGACTCATGTGTTAAGAAGTTTGGGAGAAATGTCAAGTCTGCACAATCCAATTGAAGAAGAAAGTAATCAGCAATAAACCAACTCATAGAGCTAAAGAAAAAGCAGAATTATTTTTTGATTCATCTGATTAGTTTTTCTCACTAGAGAGGAGCCTCAATTCCATAAACATCTACTAATAAACTGTGTCA